CAAAGCATGCTCAGTTGAGTACTCCGGAGAACAAAGAAGTTTTTCTTAGCTGAATAATTCTAATCAAAGATGTTCTTCTTTAGGAATTCTTCCTAAAATGTCCTCTTAAAGATGTCCTCCATGATATTGATATTATGTATTGCATTTTGCACTGCTTGTGCAGCTGCTCCTTGCCGCCAAGCCTCCATGCAAAGAAGACCTTGGGCAGGGGGCAGGAGAGAGCGGAGAATCATTTGAAAGTGTACATGCCTACCAGAAGATATTGATGTAATTTTTTTTAGAAGTTAACCCCAAAATCACTTGGCTATAATAAAATGTCTATCACCTGATTTACAGATCTTTAAACAAAATACATGGATTTAAGCCAACTACAATACACTGAAGTTAGCTGAATGGCAACTATTTTCCACTGAGTTCAAGCTAGGACTCATACCAAAATATCAAAAGAATCATGAAGTAAGGGAACAGAGTGATCTATCTCAGAGTCCTACAACTAGAAGGGACTTCAAAGGCCATCTAGTTTAACCCACAGCCAATGCAGGGAATCTTCAAGGAAGGAGTATGCACTGCCAACAATTTGTATCAACATTTGCCTCAGGACAACTTTCTGTAGCTGAAAATGTCCAGCCAAGAGAACGTGAACTGTGGGGCAATACTGGCCTTGTTCACTAATAAAGAGTGGAAAGTTGGTTTAGAGGCTCAGATAAGTATTCCTTCAAATTGAGGAGCCTGAGTTATTATGTGGACTCTAAAAGAAGGACATACTTTTTGGGAATGGATTCCTAAGGCACTGTTTAAAAAGCTGCATACGGAAAGGCAAATAGTAGACTCCTGTTTATTGATGACATAACGATTGATTGTTTTGCAGTAGTCTTATACATGCTTGCTTTGAATAAGTTTCACTGAACTCATTGAGACTCATTCCTGTATGGACACGCAATGGATTTGTTTTTAAAAGACTTATTTTATTTGCTGAATATTTCCTCTTCATATTCTTTGGACCGAACTCTGTGTGTGTATGTGTATGCAGATTTGCTCAGTGTTGGAAATGTATTTCTGATAAACATTGACCATAATATCCATATTTTTGCATATCTAGAATGCTGGCATTATTTCCTTTGATCTCTTTGTCTACCTGTGACTATATTTCAGCTTTCAGCGTATGTTGCTGAACTGTTTAAGATGTTACAATGGCATGGTACAGTGTTTTGTTTTTGTGTTGGCCTTTCATGGGAAGCTATTGTTGGTTTCAAATAATATTTGTATATATGCAAATGAGTTTTATTTTCAAAATCTGTCAGCTGAGATGTTTCACTTCACTGAGGATGAAGGTTTACATTTGGTAAGGTTGGAAGAACCATCCTGAAAAATTAGGTTGCCATTCTAAATGCATTTATCTACTAAGGAGTAAATTCCATTAATCTTGGTAGGATGTCCTTCCACATTAGCATGCACAAAATTCTGCACTGAGTAGCTGAGGACAAAATTTTTGAATACATGTAACAGATGAAAAAAGTGCTGTTATTTTAAGATAAGTACATTCAAATAATTGAATGAAACACACATTCAGTACACACTGGGTGAGGTCAGAGGGATTCCTGAGTACCATTTTTGGTGGAAAGTTAGGGATACAGATGAGAAAGTAAGCAAGCAAATCTTCACTGCTCCAAGCACACAGTTTGCATGTATCCAGGGGAAGGACTGTAGACCAACAAAATGCATGTGGAAATTGCCCAGATTCAGTCCCTGGAATCTCCAGGTGTGGGTGACAAATGCTCCTCTCTGAAACCTTGTTCCTCAGTAAGACAATACTGAAGTAGATGCCCCAATCTTCTGACATACAGTGAAAAGGAAAAACAAAATGATCATGAGCAATTTCACTATGAACATTTGGGGATTATTAACTTAGGGGAAAAAAGATGAGTCAAGTGGGACATGATAAAGATATATAACATTATGCACATCTATAAAGGTGTTTAAAATGATGTACCTTTCAGCAGTCTAAGTTACAAGGGAAAGCTGTTTAGTTGTTGCTATTGTTAAACAAATGGAAATGAGAAATCCTTGGCAATCTACTGCCAATCACTCAGAGAACCACCAGTAGAAATGAGTGACATTCTGCCCGCTCCTAGTATAAAAGGACCCATTCAAATGTCCATTTACCAGGCAAATGCTGAAGGCAAAGGAACTCTGATAGACAAAGCACAAGTCAAAGTCATGTTCACTTTCAAAAACTAAGAGTGACTTGGGCCCATCTCACTGAACTTTAAATGGATTTGCATAGGTGCCTTAATTCCATCAGGGCCTTTTAACAGAAGTCCCATTTATTTATTTATTTATTTATTTATTTATTTATTTATTTATTTAAACATTTTTATGCCGCCCCATTCGCCGAAGCCTCGGGGCGGCTTACAACAATTAGTTAAATAATTATAATTAAAATATAAACATTAAAATAATGTTTCTTACATGTTACCTGTCATCAACAATACCAGAATAGGAAAATAAATTATTTAATGCAGGAATGAGCAACCTGTGGCTCTCTAGGTGCTTTGGCCTCAAATGGTTATGATCATTCACCATTGCCTATGCTCGTTTTGGCTAATGCCAGTTATCAGATAGCAACAGCTGGGCAGCCATAAATTGTCCATCGCAGATTTATGGGAAAGCAGAGTACGGGAAGTTCATGTCAACTCAAAGATGTTCAAGTGCCATTTTTACCATTAGTACCACAACGTGGGCACCTAAACTACTCAAATAGCTATGAAAATCCCAGCTGACATTTTTGTTCATCTGTTTAAGAGTTCAGGATGCAGTGGTTTGAACTCCGGCTATAAGACCAAATAATTTCTGTGGAATTTACTTCTAAGTATACATACATGTATTGTCAAATGGTCAATTCATTCAAGATTCTCAGAGGCTGAAACAATGCCATGTTGCCATTATGATTAAATTATTTTCTTCTAAAAGCCTGTTATCCTTGCTTCCTTTTATATGTTAGCCAGCCTATATCCACAGATTTGCTGTCAGAGACACATTGTAAAGATGGTATAAAGAGAGCTCTAGTTAAGGAGTAAAAAATCCAGCTTTTGGCTTCAAATCTCCCTCAGAGGGCTAAATCTCAGCATAAATTCTAGTTCTAAAACTGAGCTTGAGCCAGTTAATAAAAATGAGCCTTCCATTCCTTTGATCAAGTCAATGCACACTATAATAATCCTTGCAATCACATGCTCACTTTCTGTTTTTGTGATAGCAGTTCTCCCTGCCAGGAACACAAATTACTTTTTAAACCAGAAAAGCAGCTTATTTCTTTTTGGTGAGAACTGTCATGCTTAAAAAAGAAAGCGAACAAGACTGAGCAAGAGAGAGCAAAGCACCTCCTAAGCCCATGGTTTTCTTTCCTAGTTGCATCTCCCTTACTTGATCCCCCTCAGGCATTTAGAACTGATTAATTTTAACAAGTTTAACCAAATTAAAAATAACAGAGTATGTTTCTTAATTAATGGGTCTTAGGTATATAAAACTATCTGTGCAGATTTGAGGAAGAAAGAAACTGCTCACCATGGAATTTGCTCACTACTGAAGCATAAAACCAGTTTTGTGCTTGGCACCCACCAGCCATTGCTTGTATCCAAGAACTGACCCAGCAAGAACAATCTGATAGAACACCAGAATAGTATACCTATTGGCCAAATAGTACATTTTCTTTATCTCTTCAAAGTGGACCGTGCACTTCTAGGGTTCTGCATAGAAAGACAAGCAAATGAAGCACCATTGACTTCATTAAATTAACAGAGCTACTTCAAAGTGAAACAGAAGATCTAAAATACATTACATTTTTGAAAATCAGAGATGGTCTCTCCATGGCTCTTTTCAGATTGGTTGTTTTTTCTGCTTTTCTAGAAACTTGCCTGGGACAATTGGAGAGCTCAGAAGAATATTGATACTGCCCATCTGTTTCTACTTTCATTCTTTACCTCACTTCAAAAACTCTGCCACTCTCATACAATTCCTTGTCATTGGCAACAGTGGTACCACCAAGCATAGTACCTATATGTCCTCACACCCCTTAAGATCGGCAGGGAGGCCTTACTCCGGGACCCTCTTTGAGGGGAGAATGGAGGGTATCCATGCAGAGGAGGGCCTTCTCTGTGGTGGCA